ATGATGAAGGTGTTTGAAATGACAGATCTTGGGTTCATGTCCTACTTCCTTGGTATGGAGATTAAGCAAGGGCAAGGTGAAGTCTTCATCTACCAGAAAAAGTATACAAAGGAAATACTAAAGAAGTTTCAGATGGAGGAGTGCAAGGCAGTAAGCACACCAATGAATCAAAAGGAGAAGTTGTGCAAAGAAGATGGTGCTGACAAAGTTGATGAAAGATATTTCAGGAGTTTGATTGGTTGCCTGATGTATCTCACAGCAACAAGGCCTGATATCTTGAATGTTGTAAGTATTTTGTCTCGATTCATGCATTGTGCAAGTGAACTGCATCTCAAGGCTGCAAAAAGAGTGATTCGATATGTCAAAGGCACAAGTAATTTTGGTATTAAGTTCACAAGGAGCATGGAGTTCAAGCTGATTGGTTTTTCTGACAGTGACTGGGGAGGTTCCACTGATGATATGAGGAGCACTTTAGGCTACTGTTTTACTTTTGGATCTGGTGTTTTTTCATGGAGCTCTAAGAAGCAGGAAACAGTGGCGCAATCCACTGCAGAAGCTGAGTTTGTTGCTGCCACAACAGCTGCTAACCAAGCATTGTGGCTGAAAAAAATATTGAATGATCTTAATCGAAGCGGAAGGAAAGCACGCGAGATTCTTGTTGACAACCAAGCTGCCATTGCCATCTCCCACAATCCAGTGTTCCACGGAAAGACCAAGCACTTCAACATCAAGCTTTTCTTCTTGAGGGAAGTGCAGAAAGAAGGAGATGTTGTGCTAATTTATTGCGGAACGAGAGGAACAAGTTGCGACATCTTCACCAAGCCATTGTCAGTGAGCAGATTTGAAGACTTGAGAACAAAACTTGGTGTTTGCAGCTCCTAAAGCAAGGAGGAGTGTTGGAAGAGTGCTTCAGGACTGAAACATGTCCACGTATTTTTTTAAGTTGATTATGTCAAAGTTTGTTCCTATTTTTTAGGAAGTAGTTTTCCATGTTTTGTAATCATGGAGAAAGTTTAGGATCGTGTTGTTAGTGGTCAGTTATTTTTAGGCTTTAAATATTGCAATGTTTCTGATATTGAAAAATGAATTATTCAGTTCTTTGCCTAAAAAACCAACAATCTTGAAGCCCTAGATCTTTCAGAATCGATAGAAGAAGATTATGCAGTTGGTCCACTACCTGAAAATCCTACAGTGGCGCAACTGAAGATTCACAAAGAAAAGAAGACAAGAAAGGTCAAGGCCAAAGCTTGTCTTTTCTCATCCATTTCAAAAATCATATTTACAAGAATTATGAATTTGAATTCTGCGAAGGACATTTGGGACTACCTCAAATCAGAGTATCAGGGTAGTGAACGAACCAAAAGTATGAAGGCACTCAACTTGGGCAGAGAATTTGAGATGCAGAGCATGAAGGAGACGGAAACTATCAAAAGATATGCTGACAAACTATTGAGCATCGCAAACCAAGTACGTATCCTCGGTAACGATTTTCCTGATGAAAGGATAGTACAAAAAATACTTGTCACTGTGCATGAAAAGTATGAATCCAAAATATCAGCATTAGAGGAGTCAAAAAACTTGTCAAAAATCACCCTTGGAGAATTGGTAAATGCTTTACAGGCCCAGGAACAGAGGAGAACGGTGAGACATGAGGAGGAAGAGACAACACCAGGTGCTTTTCATATAAAAGCACAAAACTTAGGAGGAGGCAAAGATAAGAAGAACACCAAATGGAAAAACAGGAAACCAGAAAGTTTCAACAAGCACCAATGTGACACATTTCCACCTTGTCCACACTGTAAAAAAACAAACCACTCTAAAAAAAAATGTTGGTGGAGACCTGACATCAAGTACTGAAAATGTGGCAAGCTGGGGCATGTAGAGCGGATTTACAAATCACCGGAGGAGGCAAAGATGTCCACGGAGCAACAAGAAGATGAGCAACTCTTTGTTGCAACATGCTTTGCTACAAGCAACAGTTCTAGTGATTCATGGTTAATAGACAGTGGTTGTACAAACCATATGTCGAACGACCAAACGCTTTTCAAAGAGCTTGATAAAACCATTGTTTCTAAAGTAAAAATTGGAAATGGTGATTTGATATCAGTCAAAAGAAAAGGAACTATTACTATCGAAAGTTTAACAGGTTTGAAACATATCTCCGATGTCTTATATGTGCCTGACATTGACCAAAATTTTCTTAGTGTGGCACAGCTAGTTGAAAAGGGCTTCAAAGTTATATTTGAAGACAAGTGGTGCTTGATTAAGGATGCAAAAGGCAAAGATGTGTTTAAGGTAAAAATGAAGGCCAAAAGCTATGCTCTAAATCTAATGGAGGAGGAGCAAATAGCTTTTTCAAGCACCTATAACAACATTGAATTATGGCACAAAAGGCTTGGACATTTCCACTTTGCGGGACTTCTATACATGCAGAAACATGACTTGGTTAAAGGTGTAACAATGCTTGAAGACAATATGATAAGCAAATTAGAAGACCATTTCCTCAAACAGCTTGGAGAGCAACACATAAGTTGCAGCTGGTACATACAGATGTTGGAGGACCTCAAAGAGTATAATCTTTGAATGGTAATAAATATTATATTATATTTATTAATGACTATTCAAGATTTTGTTGGATTTATTTCTTTAAGTTCAAGACTGAGGTTGCTAATATATTCTGAAAATATAAAGCATTTGTGGAAAATCAAAGTGGTTGCAGATTATTGACAATAAGATCAGATAATGCAAAAGAATATGTAAATAACACCTTTGACAGATTTTGTGAAGAAACCGACAAAAGCACCGCTACTCCAATGAACCAAAAGGAAAAATTCAGCAAAGATGACGGGACTAATAAGGTTGAAGAGCGTCAATTCAGAAGCCTAATTGGTTGTCCAATGTATCTTACTGCAACCAGGTTTGACATCATGTTTGCAGTAAGTATGCTTTCAAGATTTATGCATTGTGCTAGTGAAGTGCATTTTCAAGCTGCCAAACGGATTGTGAGATATATCAAGGGGACTATAGACTATGGTGTCAAATACACCCACTCTTAAAATTTTCAGTTTTACGGTTATTTTGACAGTGATTGGGGAGGTTCAATTGATGACATGAAAAACACAACAGGTTTGCTGTTTCAGCTTAGGTTCAGGTATGTTTTCATGGAGTTCAAAAAAACAAGATATAGTGGCTCAGAGTACAACTGAGGCAGAATATGTGGCAGCCACTGCAGCAGTAAATCAAGTTATTTGGCTAAGGCGTATACTTGTTGATTTACATATGGAACAAAAGGAGCTTACACAGATTCTTGTTGATAATCAAACAACTATTTCCATTTTAAATAATCCTGTTTTTCATGGCAGGACTAAGCATTTCAAGATCAAGTTGTGTTTTTTGAGGGAAGCACAAAGAGAAGGTGAAGTTAAATTAATTTACTGCAGAACTAAAGATCACGGTGCAGATGTCTTAACAAAAGCTCTTCCAAAATTCAAATTTGAAGCTTTAAGAAATAAACTAGGTGTTTGCAACTATTGAGACAAGGAAGAGATATGTTGAACGTGTGCCGCTAGCTGCAGAAGTGAATGTTTAGGACCTATTCTTTAGGATAGTACTGATTCTGTTTTTATCAGTTTAGAAAATATATTCAAAATAACAGTTGGGTTATGCCTAAAAATAAGATATATTTGTTTTGTATTTGTTTTATTTTAAACTCTATTTAAAGAGTAAAATAAACAACAGTATTTCATCCTCCATAAAATATATCTTCTATTTCTAAAATTTCTACACTAATAGACTACTATCTCCCTATCTGATTTATCTTTTACAACTATTACCTGTGAAGATAGTAGCAGTCTCAAAGTGCAGCCTACGTCAATGGCATCAACCAAAATTGAGGTGAGGGCTTCGTGTGATGGAAGATGTTATGTTGCAGATCACAGGCCTATCAAGAGCATCTTTTTTCCACCCTCAATTTATACCAACTATTGGACTTATTCCATGTTCTCTTTTGTTGGGTCAACCTTCAAGTTCCCCACAATTCACAATTCTCACATGTGTTAACTTTGATACTTGATTTGTGACTATATCAATTATGTCCATGTGTAAGGTTGCTGAGAGGCAAGACCAACCCAATATATTATTATTGTATCATTGGGAGTTTGATTTGTCCTCTATTGTCTAAAGCAAATTGAGAATACATGTTTCTTTGAAGGGGTTGGTTGGGTAAGTATTAAATAGAGTTGGTTAATTTATAAAATATATCTATGCAAATATTCTTTGTTATTTGAGTGTTGTCTTACATGGAGTACAGACAGAAAAATTGAATAATTTACAAGTAAAAAATACACACAAATCTATATTATCTTAAGGTTTTAAAGACGAAGATAAAGATATATTTTCTTATATAATTACTGGTCCCTTAAGTGAATATTGGCCTAATATTATCCCCTCGTAAACATCCTACAGTAGTATCAGAGTTTGCATGGTTCGTCGTAACCGACTTTGTCGAGTGCGAAATTGAGTTATATTCTCGAGTCTCGTTGGTGAACACCAACTGGATTGAAAGAGGAGAGCGTTTTGTAGGAATTTTGTATACCAATTTTTTTCCAAAATGCCCCAAGTAACTAAGCAAAATCCATAAACACTTACACAGAATGCTAGTTCAGGATGGTGGTGAGTGATGATAGCAACATTGCTGCTTTTGGTGGAAAGGATGGAAAGGCAAGTAATAAGAGGAACGCATTGATGATATATATTTGAGACTTGCATTTTCTTTGAATGGAAGAGGCACTACAACCTCACTCCTCTGATAAAATTGTCTCTCTTATTCAACTCCAGGGAACTTGTGAAATGATTACTGAGGGTAGCTAGGTTCTTACATGAAGATAGAGCCAACCATAATGATAATGATAGTACAAGACATGTTAATAATATGGAATTCACATCTTGTTTATTCGCATAATTTATATCCTAAAACCTAGTTTTGAGCCTTGCAGAAATATTCAAACTTTTCCATCCCAAAGTTCTTCCAAGGTCTTGTAAGGCCCATTTTCAGATAGCCACATGTCCCCTGTGTATTGCCTGCGCTGTGGAACCTGACTAATCCTCTCCAGATCCTCTTCACTCAACTCAAAATCAAATATGTCCAGGTTCTGCTTCATCCTCTCCTTGTTGGTGCTTTTAGCCATGGCACTTGACCCTTGTTGGTACGCCCATCTAAGTGCAACCTGAAATGACAGTATCACCATCAATTAATAAAGCATCACTTTCTGTTGGCTGTTAGCAAAAATGTTTTAATAGCAAAACCAAATCAAGAACCATGTTCTCAGCCCCTCGCTTTCGTCAAGGGTAGTTTTGATACTGACCAATTTTACCACTCAACATTTGATAGTAGTGTTGCTATTTACAAAAATCATTCACTACATTCTCTTATATGGACTAAAATTTTTTGAAAATCATAAATTTTGTCAGTCCTATTTCTTAACGAGTCTATTTCATAATTTTGTTAGTTTTTAATAAATTTCAATGGTAAAATATTTGTTAGGAGTGTGTTACAGCATTTACTGCTAGCACTATGTTCTCTTTTTTGTTGTGAGTGATTGATTGCTTTTTTAAGTCACAAACAGGGGCTTGTCTTTCTTCTCAATTTTCTAGAATATGTGAATTATTAAAAGTCACAGTTGATGATTAAGTTGTTCCATTTTTTGCTGAAAGTTTACTTGAGCTATGGACTTCCCTTTCGCCTTTGCTATGTCTTGGAGGATTGGATTCTCCATGACAGCTCCTGAACCCCAAAATATCTTGTAAGCACCGAGAGCTGACCAAGCACTAACATGAATTCCCTTGCTGCCATGATGGGTTCATTTCCACCTGAAAAAACCACAATCAGGAACATAACATGAGTACCAAGAAGTTCAAAACCAACATAATAACTAAGCACCAAACCAAATATATCTCGAGTAGACACATTATGCTACCTGGTTGACTGCAGGAGAAATTGTGGCTATTTCCAAGATTTTGGTGAGTTTTTTGATGCCATAATTGCATATGCCAATAGACTTTGCTAATCCCAAATTGTAGCACTCTTCCATACCTTTCCATGTACCCTCTATATCAAAAGGCAGCAAATCTTCCTTGGAAAAAAACAGTTGGATTCTCAACCTCACTGGCCAATGAATCAGATAGAGATCCACATACCCCATCCCCAGCTTTCTAAACAACACACAAAAAGTGTTTAAGCAACATTAATAGTCAGAAAAGTAAAACTTGCATGCAGTTTTATTCGTACTTTAGACATTGCTCTGCCATTACAATGAGAGTTTTCCTTCGGTTATCTAGATAATAAGGGTCTCTATAAAATATTAACACATATCACCTAAATAAAACTTCAATTCTGATAAGAGAACAGCATAAAAAATATGTATGAAATTCTATCTCAGTTCTATCCCACAAACAATAAAGTGAACAAAAACACTCTATTAAGATCAATTAGGAACAAAGTGAGTGAGTAAGGAGATTATAGGTACTTTAATGTGGTCTTGAGAGCTGGGATAATAAGATCACGGTGTGCATCTGTGTTCCAAGGCTTTGAAGTGATGAAAACTTCATCTCTACTCTTTATGAGGCCTTTCTCCATGGCTTTGGCAACAGCTAAGCCTATGGCTTCCTCTGTTCCATACACAGAGGCAGTGTCAAAATGGCGATAACCAACCTCAATGGCTTCAACATAGATAGAAGCAAGGGTCTCATTTGATGGACAATTCTCAACTGAAGTTCCCATGCCTATAACTGGCATTTTGTGTCCTGAATTCAGCGACAAATCTGGGATTTTCGTTCCTGCCATGTTTCTTCTTTCTTTCTTCCTATCCTTGTTTCTACCTAGGCTACAAATGTGACTAGAATTGGAGATACTATATAGTATCTCTCTTTAAAGGTTCAAGTTTTGTGCTAAAGTTGATTTGATTTGAATGAGGTTGTCTATTATCGTGTTTATAATATATGGAAAGAAAGAATTATTTATAAGATTTTAATTTATATTTTTTGAACCATTATTGTTATGCATGAAAAAAATATATTGATTTCGTAACCACCTATTTTAAAAGTTACAATGGTCTTTTTATATCAGTAATATATAAAAATTAAACTCTTATTTATAAGTTTAATTATATATATATATATATATATATATATATATATATATATATATATATATACTATTAATTATCATCGTGAAAGATCTCTACACATATATCTATTGGAATTTACCTTTTGCTTATGCATGTAATCTTCTTGATTATCTCAATTGATATGACAAAATATTAAATTTCATTGAATATATGTAGAAAGATGTTTTACTTTATACTAATAAGTATAAAATTTTATTTATATTTAATTATCTATGTTTTTGTAAGATTATCGTGTTCATTACATTCAATAAAAATAGTTTTTTAATTAATCTTTTTAATACATAATTAATATATAATTAATATATTTGATTATTCTATTATACATTAATGTTACATTAAAATGGTGATAATTAACATTAAATATATTATTTAAAATATTTTGATAAGTGTATATATTATTTCTCATATTTTTATGATACTTATTTGTAAGTAAATCTCCTATTTTTTAGCATTTAATATAGCTTCCACCACCATTCTTTTTAATAGAGCTTAATCTAATAAACTTTAAAACATTTATTATATAAATAAACTTATTCGAACCCTTTAACTAAAGACAAAGAAGATTATTTATTAGTGTAACTTTTTAGAAAGAACATGACAATTTTAAATCACTGGTTAGAAAAGTAAGTATTTATTTTATATTATTTTCTAATTTTGGATATGATAATTTTGTATTTTAACTTTCTATACCAAATTTTTAAATCTTAACATGAAAATGTTTTGTAGACATGCACTAGGCAATTTATATCCTAAAAAGGATAATTAGAAAAATAGCTAAGTTATAGATATAGAAGTCATTTCTTAATACTTTTATTCAAGTGAAATTATAATTTCAATGATTTTTTTAATATTTGACCACATAAAGTTCCTATCTTTAATTATATCTTATTTTATACTCGCGTCTTTTTATATATAGATATAAGATGAAAACTTAGTTTTATTTTAATTACCCAATATCTTACATTTGAATAATATAGGAAAATAGAAAGTGAACAAGTATTAGTTAGTGCTAATATATTAAAGTGATATGTCGTGAGAATAATTTATTTAAGAGAAAAATATGTATTCGATTTTTATTGTGTACCAAAATTAAGGAAATCAATAATAATTATATTATTATTATTATTATTATTATTATTATTATTATTATTATTATTATTATTATTATTATTATTATTATTATAACCATATTAGTACTCATCTGGTGAAAGTTTATATTGCATGTGATGACCATGTAAGAGAGAGTGATAATATTAGTAGTTTATCAATTTTTCATTTGTTTGATAATATAAAAGTTATGCTAAATAAGAATTGAAATATTATTTAAAACCTTATTTTTTTTAAAAGAAAACTTCTTAAAGAGAATGACACCCTTAAACAGTGCATGTGAGAAAGCAGAAACATCCATGAAATTGATGTCCACTCATTCCCAAAGATCTTCCAGGGTTTTGAAAGGACCAAATTCAGAGACAAAACGTTCACCTTTGAAACCCCTGTGTTGTGGTATTTCCTTTATCTTCTCTGCATCACTCTCACTCAGCTCCCAATCAAATATTTCAATGTTTTGCCTCATTCTCTCACTGTTGAAGCTCTTCACTATTGGAGTTGCACCTTCCTCTATTATCCACCTCAATGCAACCTACAAAAAGAATTGATGTTTTTCATATTTTGGTCTAATCTTGTTTTTAAGTCTTTGTGTAAATACATTTGTTTTAGGTTTTACTTCTTGTAATCTTTTATGATGAAACATGGACTATGATGTTGTATGTTTAATTCACCTGTGCCACACTCTTGTCTTTTTTGACTGCAATATCTTTTAGAATAGGACTGTCCATAACAGCAAGGGAGCCCCACACAGCTCCATTGGCTCCTAGAGGAGACCATGCACTCACGTGAATTCCTTTTTCTTTGCAGAATTTTCTCAGATTTTCCTGTGACCATGCTGCGTTCATCTCCACCTGCAGATGTGGATGCATTTTACACACAACACAGTATATATGCAAAATATTTCAAATGAAATGACCAATATTAATTAAACATATGAATTGTGAAGGTTTTTGATTTACAATTGATCAATGTTGCAAGTAACATGTTAATACCTGGACAAGAGCAGGAGTAATAATAGCATTTTGCATAAGTTCTGAAAGCTTTTTCACCCCAAAATTGCTTACACCAATGGACTTGGCCAAACCCAATTTGGTGCATAGTTCCATGTCTTCCCATATCCCTTTCATGTCCAAAGGAAGAATGTCTTCTTTGCCATACTTGGTCCCTTTTGCTCCTTGTCTCAGCCTCACTGGAAAATGGATTAGGTAAAGATCCACATACTCTAGCCCCAACCTCCTATGAGAATGCAACATTCAAATAATTATACTTTTTTAGTCAAAGAATGAATCTTGCATAAATCACATGTAAGTAACATAAACATTTTGCTCTATTCTTTGATCAAAATTGAAGTTTTATTTCAATAAATTTAAAATTCTGAATTTCAATTAATACAAAATTTAAATAAAAAACTTAAGTTACTCCTCATTTTTATACTTACTTTTATTATCCAACTAATATATCATACTCTTAACACATTTCTTTCCTACTAAAACATTTCTAAATAATCCAACAACAAATGATGTAAAGAATCTAATAATAACCATTTTCATAATAATTTTAATTTAGGTAACTTTCATCCAAAAGGTTAATTTGGAGATAAGGGTTGTCTCCCTCTACATATACTATTGCACTTATATCCATATTTATTGTAAATAGTAAATATAATACAAAAATATAGTTATTATAACTTATAAAATTTTATTTCATTTTCTAAAGTAATCACTAGTTCAATTTTTTCCATTATAACAAAATAGAAACAATTATAACAATCTTAAGAGTAAAATGTAAAAAAATTGGAGACCAAACAATCAATTACAAAAATATATCTCCACACGAAATTCTCCACATTTATTTAAAGCATCATAACACAAAAACAATTAAAATTAATAAGGATAAAATCTTAGAACTTTTCTTACTCATCACAGTCATAAAACCTAAACAATAAATTAAATGTAAAGAATTAAAAAAAAAATGAACAATGTATACATATGTATATATATATATATATATATATATATATATATATATATAATAAAATTACTGTAATGAGCTCGTGAGTGCTGGTAGCACAAGGCCAGGATTAGCTTCAGTGCACCACAGTTTGGTGGTGACAAAAATCTCATTACGGCTTTGAATGAGACCTCGGTCTAGGGCTTGTGCTATGGCTTGGCCAAGAGCTTCCTCAGAACCATAATAAGCTGCTGTGTCAAAATGCCTGTATCCAACTTTGATGGCTTCAATGAATGCAGGGATGAGCACATGGGGTGGTGGTAATGGCACTGTTCCTGTGCCAAAACCCAACATTGGCATCTTCTGCCCTGAGTTTAGCACCACTTCTGGTATTGCCTTTGCCTCCATTGTTCCTGTGAATTCGAATCAAACTCAAACAATTTCAAAACTTAACTTAGAGGAGAAGAGCTCAACTTGTATGAAGAGTTTTTTTTATACTATTCACTTATAATAACACAGTCTCCAAAACTAGACATAATTGAATGGTCCTATGATACTGTTCAACATAAGAAGTAATAGGATGGTCCAATATTAATTATGAATAAACTTCAATCCTACATAGTAAAATTATATATATAAATTAAATGATAGTCAGTTTTACCTTAATTTAATTGATGGTATAAATTATTTATGAAGAACATCTTCTTAGTTTAAATTTTTAATTAATTATCTTCTTAATTTTAATATAATTATATACAAAGTAATTTTAATATAAATATTATGAGAATAAAAATAACATGAAAAGAAGTTGAATTATCTTTTTATACCATTATCACAGTGAATTATAAATATGTTAATCAACCACTTCGTTATCCAATTATTCCTTTTAATTGTGTTTTCAAATAATAATATGAAAATTCTTTATATATAGTCTCTTCGTCCTTTGTACTCACTCTCCAGATATTTTTTATATGGTATCCTCTTTACGCCTTGATTTTCTATTATAAATGAAAATACATGGAGCACTATCAATAACTTTTTTTATCAAGTTTAAATAAATATTTTTATAAATATAATTTTAAAATAAATAACTAACAATTTTATTTCATATTTTATATGATTTTATTTTATTTAAAGGATAAAATAAGTATTTTTAAAATTATACTAATCGAAGATATGTAAATATTTTCTTATATCATGTATGTAAATATTTTCTTATATCATGAACAAAGTGTGAAAGTCAATGAGAAACTTTTCACGTAAAAAGAAGCAATTATGAAAACTAAACATTTCAATTAAATGAATACTCTAAAGTCTTCTTCACTATGAGAATGTAATTAATTATAAGTACTTACAACGAATTATGTATAAATAAGATTATAGTATTAATACAAAAAGAGATATGAAATGTTTTGGGCGTATTTTCTTTATAATAATAATAATAAATAAAATTATCAAAACAAATACAATAACATTTCTTCTTATTTATTTTTCAAATAATTTTTCTTTTCTTTATCATACAATTGTAATAATTATGTCTTTTTTTAAGACAGATTTAAATGTTGATGGAAGCTATATCCCTAGGATGGACGGCATGGGCATAGGGGGACCAATTCTTGCAGAAACTGAAAATCCAACGTGGGCTTACATGCTGTCGGAATTTAGGGCACCAAAAACTTAATTTTTTAATGTGAATGCCTTGAAGTTATCAATGATTTTAAATAGAGGTTTCTTTTCAACATGTGACACTATATGTCAAAGGTAGAGTTTAAGATAAGAGTGTTGTAGAATCAGAAAGATATTGCAAAATCTACTGTGAAGCTTCCTAAGTTTTGGTTACAGTCGCAGAGCACATTTCCAAGCTTTGGTTACAGTCGCAGAGCACATTTCCAAGCTTTGGTTACAGTCGCAGATCATATTTCCTACATCTAGGCCTAGTGCAACAATGTGATAGCTGAATTTCAGGGGCAGGGTTGCACAATGTTGTATATAGGCTATTACATGGAGATGGGTCTCTTATTTATATTTTAGCTATAAATAAATTATTTCATATTGTTGTAAAGATACATGTCACTTTTTTTTTTTTTTCTTCTTTTCTCTTAGTCCTGCATTTATATATTTTTTTAAGAATTTTTTATTAATTTCTGAATTTTTTGAAAAATTTCTATTATATCTGGTGACTTCTATAATATTTCGCAAATAAGTTCTGAAAAACTTGCACAATATTCGAAATAAATTCTTAAAGACAAAGATTTTATACGTAATAGAAATAAAGTTTTTTCGTATGTCAATTATTTTTTACAACCATAAATCTGAATTTTATTTTATCTTCTTGTAGAGAGACTCTTTTGGTTTGTTTCTGAATAATTTTGTTTATACATTACCAAAATGTATAATAATAAAAATAATAAATTTTAAAAATATGTAACAAATTTTAACAATGTGTTCACAAATGTTCATGTGTTAGTGAAGGTTCAACTTTCTTCTTCAGAATGTGAATCCTTGAAATCAAGAAAAACGTTTAGAAGACCTATCCAACTCATTATTTTTATTGTCACCCTAATTCATTCAGATATCATTATTATAATAATTATAAATAAAATTATGTCTAGAATTTTTAAATGTTTGATCATATAAAAATATTACGCTATAAATCAATTATTCAAAACCTTGTTTTTTTTAAAAGGAAACTTCTTAGGAGAATCCATACACATAGTTTTCCACTTTAAACAATGGATATGAGAAATCAAAATCAGCCTTCTTGAAATTGATGTCCACTCATTCCCAAAGATCTTCTATAGTTTTGAAAGGACCAAATTCAGAGACAAAACGGTCACCTTTGAAACCCCTGTGTTGTGGTATTTCCTTTATCTTCTCTGCATCACTCTCACTCAGCTCCCAATCAAATATTTCAATGTTTTGCCTCATTCTCTCACTGTTGAAGCTCTTCACTATTGGAGTTGCACCTTCCTCTATTATCCACCTCAATGCAACCTGCAAAAAGAATTGATGTTTTTCATATTTTGGTCTAATCTTGTTTTTAAGTCTTTGTGTAAATACATTTGTTTTAGGATTTAGTTCTTGTAATCTTTTATGATGAAACATGGACTATGATGTTGTATGTTTAATTCACCTGTGCCACACTCTTGCCTTTTTTGACTGCAATATCTTTTAGAATAGGACTGTCCATAACAGCAAGGGAGCCCCACACAGCTCCATTGGCTCCCAGAGGAGACCATGCACTCACGTGAATTCCTTCTTCTTTGCAGAATTTTCTCAGATTTTCCTGTGACCATGCTGCGTTCATCTCCACCTGCAGATGAGGATGCATTTTACATACAAATGAGGATGCATTTTACATACAACACAGTATACATGCAAAACATTTTAAATGAAATGACCAATATTAATTAAACATATGAATTGTGAAGGTTTTTGATTTACAATTGATCAATGTTGCAAGTAACATGTTAATACCTGGACAAGAGCAGGAGTAACAATAACATTTTGCATAAGTTCTGAAAGCTTTTTCACCCCAAAATTGCTTACACCAATGGACTTGGCCAAACCCATTTTGGAGCATAGTTCCATGTCTTCCCATGTCCCTTTCATGTTCAAAGGAAGAATGTCTTCTTTGCCATACTTGGTTCCTTTGGCTCCTTGTCTCAGCCTCACAGGAAAATGGATTAGATAAAGATCCACATACTCTAGCCCCAACCTCCTATGAGAATGCAACATTCAAATAATTATACATTTTAGTCTAAGGAGAAATCTTGCATCAATCACATCTAATTAACAACTAAACATTTTATGATTTTCCAATCAAAATTGAAATTTATAAATAATCTTTGTAATTCTTGTTTTTCTCTGAATATCAAAAGTTGAGTGAAAAAAATTGTGAGATATTTCTTCATTTAATATATATTATTATCTGGATCATATCACTCCTTATTAATATAACAAGATCTCACACTAGTATAATTTATAACATAATATCAAACATGAAATTTATAGGAACATGTATATATAATCGAATATCAAGTGATTTGATGAACTCATCAACAGTTGTTTGTTTAAATTGACTTTGATACTAATAATATTGACTTAAGTCAATTAATTTCATCATACAAGTTAGTTCATATTGTAAGAATTGTCTCTTATTTACTTATTTTACACTTTAGTCATATAAATAATTGATGATAGAATAATAATCATATATTTTCTTTTAGAAATTAAAATTGACAATGTTCATCAAATAATTAAAAGTTAATTTTGATTGAAAAATGATAACAATTGTGCTTACCACCACCACATACAACTAATCAAATGTAGATATTTTCAAAAGTCAAAATTATAACAATCAAATAAAAGGGTAAGAGAATTACTGTAATGAACTCTTGAGTGCTGGTAGCACAAGACCAGGATTAGCTTCAGTGCACCACAGTTTGGTGGTGACAAAAAGCTCATTACGGCTTTGAATGAGACCTTGATCTAGGGCTTGTGTTATGGCTTGGCCAAGAGGTTCCTCAGAGCCATAATAAGCTGCAGTGTCAAAATGCCTGTAGCCAACTTTGATGGCTTCAATGAATGCAGGGATGAGGACATGAGGTGGTGGTAATGGCACTGTTCCTGTGCCAAAACCTAATCTTGGCATCTTCTGCCCTGAGTTTAGTACCACTTCTGGTATTGCCTTTGCCTCCATTGTTCCTGTGAATTGGAATCAAACACAGACAATTTCAAAAGTTAATTTAAAAAAGAATATGTTTGTATCATTCTTGGCTAATATATACAATACATTGTAACACTGTCTCTAGATGTAAACATAGACAAATGTTCTGATATTACCTTATTAAAAGTGAATGAAACCTAATCTGCGCCAAAAATTTATCTTAAAATAATAAAGGTTTACTCTAATGTTTTGAATTGAGATATCTCAGCACTAATTCATCAAAACAACAAGGTCTTATTGATGGATGAATGACACCACAGTAATTGGTAATATTAAACAGTTTAAAAGAAAGAGGGCGTGTTATTTATAATAATATATATTGAATTAAATTGTTTAATTAATTTAAATAATTTAAACTCGGTTTTAAAGAATGCTTTAATATAAATAGGTAGCATTAAATATCAGGAGTATTGTTTTTCAAAATATATTAATATAAAATCAATGAAACAATTAATTTTTATAGTGTATAAGCGTTACAATTTAAATTAATTAAACGTATTTGGTGTATTTAATAAATAACATTTATTTCTATAGTATAATATAATGGGTTAAATTAGAAATGTTTTATTTATTAATTAATATTTTGTATAGGTAATAAGTACATTAATGTTTATATTGATATATTATATATTTATTTATGGAAACGAATATGAATTGTTTCTTTTTCATTAACTAATACCGCGTATCAATGGATAAAATGTATTGATTTTCCTATTCCGTTCATAAAGAAACACTGTATTTATGAGATTTGATATATACACAATATTAATTAAATATAACATTTAATCATATTAACATTAATTGTATATTAATGAATTATATAAATCATTAATACAACATAAATGTTTATTAAGATTTATATAAATGCTTTAATAATAAATTAATAAATTTTAAGGGATATAAATATATTTTAAGGAATGTATTCATATAATTTTTATTACGAGGAATAATTTTTAATATAATTTTTCAATTTAATTCTTTCAAGTAACGCATTAGAGAACTACCTCTATAAAAGAAAAAGTTGTTTCACAATTTTTTAAATTCCAATTTTTCAAGTAACACATTATAAGTTATAAGACCAGTATTTTTTTATAAATAATTTTTTGTATTATATTAACAAAATATTACTTGAAGAAGATAAGTACTTATAATTTTATTTAATATTGCACAAAAAATTGATATATATACATATATGTGTGTGTATATATATATATACACACATATATATATATACACACATATATATATATATATATATATATATATATATATATGTGTGTGTGTGTGAATAAAAATTATTAAGAAATTATTTTTAATATATTATGGACAAATTACTTTTTATTTATTTTGATTACGTAAAGATAGAAAAATAAATGAGTAATAGTTATTATGTTTATGTTACATATATTATAGTAAATAAACATAAAAATATAAATACATTTAATTATTTTTGGCTAAGATAAAATAATTTAGTGTGACATTTAAAAAAAATAAACTGCATTACTCTCAATAAAAATTATAATTATAATATTAAATTGTATAAGTAAATTATATTCTTAAAAATAGGTATAATGTAGGAAGTAAAACAGTAAATAGAAAAATAAATAATGATACCAAAAACAATAAAAATCAAGATTAATAATTAATCAAAAATAAAAAAAAATGTATAATTAGTTTGTTTATATAAAATAATAAAAAGATTATTTATCTACAAATAATCAAATTATTCTGATTTAAAATATTCTGTATAGTCATAATTATTTCAATTAATATATATTTTTTTAGTTTTAAATTATAATTAATAATAAGAACCAAAGAAATATTAAGTGTCAAGCATCTAAAAAAATAACAAAAATAAAATTGTTAGACTAAAATCACATACAATAATATTTACAAATACTTAAACCATATTTAAAGTAAAAATTTATATAAAAAATAATAATTCTGTTAATCAAACGATTGAATCATAACTTTATATTACTTTGTTAATTTAAAATTATATTAAAAAACAATGAAATGATCGATATTTTCATATACTTAATATATATATATATATATATATATATATATATATATATATATATATATATATATATATATATATATATATATATTCCAAGTTTAATGTATGTGAATGAGATGTAAAAATAATAAGTTTTGAAGGGTTCTTTTGGAAGTGTCAACTACATAGATACTGTATACTGAAATAATTGCTTTGTATCATGTGCTTCAAATGTTTTGGGATCAAGGCATTCACCACCACTATAACAATGAGATCTCTATCCTTATGCAGAGAGAGTGAGATTGTATTAAACAATTAAGAACAATTTCAAAATGAGCAGAAAATTAGAAGAATCAAGTAATGAAACAAAGTATAATTATGATAATTGTTTATAATTTAGTTCAAAACTTAGTACATCAACTTGTTAGCACAACACACTAGATTAGTATATTACTGTGTATTTTTTTTATTTTTTTTTGGAATTTAGACAAAATATATCCTCTGAAGTCACACCTCACCATCCCAAAGATCTTCCAAGGATTTATAGGGTCCATCTTCAGAGATAAATTCTCTTGCTAAGACAGCCCTAAATTGTGGAATTTTCTTGACATTTTCCAAATCAACTTCACTCAGCTTCCAATCAAATATTTGAAGGTTTTCTTTCATTCTTACTTTGTTGAAGCTCTTCACTATTGGAGTGGCCCCTTGTTCAAATATCCATCTCAATGCAATCTACAATACAAACAGTAGAAGCATAAAGTTCCCATGAGCCTGGGATGTTGAAAGACTGTTGAAGAGTAACATGATATGTAATTACACTATTGGTAAAAAAATAGAAGAAACACTTGAAGAGTGATATCATATCATGAATGCAGCACAAGCAATTTTGTACAGCCAAATTTGTTTGAAATCTTCATCCCAACAAGCAAAGAAAACTTAATTTTAGTATTATGTGACTAGGAAGCAATCAAAGACCAGAGAAATTCCAGAAAAGAACTTCACCTGTGCCACACTCTTGCCTTTTGCAATTGCAATGTCTTTTAGGATTGGACTCTCCATCACAGCAAGGGAACCCCAAGAAGCCCCATAAGCTCCCAATGGGGACCACGCACTCACATGAATTCCTTTTTCTTGGCAGAACTTTCTCAGATTTCCCTGCTGCCATGCTACGTTCATTTCAACCTGTATGCAGTATGTTCTTGGACAAATGAGAACGACAAAGCTCTATAGAGATAAATATGGAGTTATATTTCCTAAGGTATTTGCATAAGTAGACCAACTTGTCCAAGAAGATTCAAATTTGTAATTTCAAGTATTAGTTAAGCCTTACCTAATATACCCCTCTGAAATTCTACCATATCTGATAGCTCACTTTCTAAGAGGATATAACATTTTATTAAGTCGAAATATAAATCTTTCATTTAATACAACGAAGAGGACTAAAGACAATCACTTAATAAAATACATGAAGCAGAGATAATGGAGCAGCAAAGAAAAAATAGTGAGTTCATGCAGGTAAAAATGGGATAGATGTGACACTAGTACCTTTAGTTATGTATACATGCCATTGTCCCAAAATTCTACCACATATCTGTCACAGGAGATATTGCGACATTTTCTTAAGTTGAAATATAGATCATTTATTTAATAAACATCCCATTGAGGATTAAAGACCCCTCTCAACAAAATATTAAGTCCAAACCAGCAATTTCTCCATCATTAAAGCAAAATTAAGAAAGCATATTGATAATGCTCACTCATACATAACCGGGAAGATGTGTACCTGATTAACAGCAGGGGTAATAGTTACATTCTGCAGAAGTTCTGAAAGCTTTCTTGCTCCAAAATTGCTGACACCAATAGACTTGGTTAAGCCTAATTTAGAGCAGTCTTCCATGGCTTTCCATGTCCCTTTTATGTCAAAAGGAAGCACATCCCCTTTGGAAATGTTTCCTGCAACTCCCTGTCTCAACCTCACTGGATAATGGATTAGGTAAAGATCCACGTACTCAAGTCCCAACCTCCTATCAGAAGCTTCAAAACCAAACAAGAGTAACAACAATAGAGTCAATTTTGATACAATGTAAGTGGAAAAACTTTACAGTGTTAACAAATTAGAAATCACTCTAAATATGAACTTTTAAAGAAATTATTACAAAAGTCAACCATTTTATCATATATGACAATTCATGATGATTAGAGGACATTGTAGAAAAAACTTTACACTGTATGATGGACTTACTGCAGTGATTTCTTGAGTGCTGGGAGGACAAGGTCAGGATGAGCATCAGAACACCATAGCTTGGTTGTGACAAAAATGTCACGACGATTCTTAATAAGACCTTGGCGTTGTGCTTGTGCCAGAGCTAGACCAAGGGCCTCCTCAGAACCATACAGAGTAGCAGTGTCGAAATGGCGGTAGCCAGCTTCAATGGCAGCAATGAACACTGGGATGAGTTCATCATTTGGTGGGAGGGGTATAGCTGCAGTGCCAAAGCCAAGCATGGGCATGCTGTGGCCAGAGTTTAGTACCACTTCTGCTACTACCTTTGCTTCCATCGAAGTGTATCTACTGTCACCACTGATCTACAAGCTGCCATCAAACAACATCAACAATAACAACAACAACAACAAAGTCTTATCCCAATAGGTGTAACAATAATAATAACAACAACAAAATTCTTATCCTCATAGGTGAAGTCGACAACGTGAATCACACAATTTCAAAATTTAAGGGTGTTTGAAACAACTTCCACAGAACTTATCTGAGTTTATTTTACTATCCAATCACTTCAGGCAGGTGTTTGAATAGCATGTTTGCTTCAGCTTAACTCTAATGAATTAAAAATTCTCACAAAAAGTTAAAAAAAAAAATGGAATCATTTCTTCAAAATAGAAGGAAACTTTAAGAAGTGGCTCGCAACTTATAGCAACCACAAAATCAAAGTTTTGGGAATCACTGCGACCGCAATTGCATCTATATTTTACACATTTGTCCATAATTTTCCATAATATAAAAAACTGCCACAAAACTGAAATCACAACTGTAATTTAAAACCTTGCAATTGCAACTCATCTTAGGATGACACTCAAAATCAAAAAATGTTTCTAGTTTTCATACGATCACTTCATCACTCGACCAAATTTTTAGGACCAAAGAGTTTTTAAATCAAGAACAGTTTTGGCTCAAGCAATGATTGGGTAAATGAAAGGAGATGTATCACAGAGGAATGGAAATAATGAAATATCAAATCAGAAGACATCTGATCCATATTTTGGTATTATTCCATCTCATTACTCCCAAATGGTGGAATAAGAGAGAATAAGTTCTACTAGTTTCTACTGTACTTCAATTTCATTTCATTAATAAAAATAATAAAATATAATTCCATTATATTTAATTTCTTACATTTTATATTCTTCCACTAATCTAAAACATAGGCATAAGAATAAATCAGAATGGAGTTACATAAGTTTAAGAAAAAAAAAACTTGAACAAAGAACTCAAATAGTTTGTTTGAAGAAATAAGGTACCGATCGGAATTGAAGACACTTAAGTTGGTTGGTTTCCTTTTGGAGGTATGAAGAACGGGACGAGAGATTATGGAAAGAGAAAAATCTTCCACCCACTGCAGTACACTTGAAAACGTGGCTCCAAAGTACAATTTTATCCCTACTTTTAAACCACAATAATTATTATTATTATTATTTACAAAATATGGTTATTATGCTAATCTAATCCAGCTAGTTAAGATCGTTATAGTTACATTAATTAATTAAACTAATATGTTCTGGATCCACATGTTTAGAGATTCTAATTTTTTATTCTTATTAAACACTTTGTCCGAGGGTTTATGCTTAAAATGGCAAAATCTTAGGTCCAGTGATACCCATCCGTAAAAAAATTTGGGACATGATAGTTTTAACTTACTCCATCTACACTATCAATTTGGCAATTTGGCAATTTGGCAACTCAAGGCAAGGTGGATGGGATGGGTTGGTAAGATTTTTTTTTAAAATATTTATATATTAAAATTAAAATAGAAAGATTATAATTAAAAATATTATTTTTATTTATATTATTAAAATATGTAAATATATTATAATATTATAATTTAAATTATAAAAATAAATTAATTAATTTAAATTATTAATTATAATTAGTTATTTTAATTCATAAATATATTTTTTTAATTTATCTAAAAAAATATTAATTAATAAATAAAAATTTAAAAATTATTTATATAATTAAAGATATATTTCAAAAAATACATATAAAAAATTTTATATTAAAAAAAATTATTCTCAATCCGTCGGTCTGTATTTAACGTGCAGACTGAGGTATGTGATTCATCCTGATTATGGTAGATCAGTGTATCACATCTCATTTTTTACAAGTCAAAAATGGGATTGGTTAATTTATTTTGTCATTCCTAAATTACGCTTGATTCAATTTATTTTAGTTTTTTTATATCAAATAATTATTTAAATTAAACATAAAAATTAAATATAATTTAGTTTAGTTTGTTTTTAAAATAATATAAAATCTTAACTAATTTAAATTAATTTTTCTTGTTTATTTTGATTTTTTTTAGTTTTCATTATTATAAAATTATTAAATATTTTTTTTAAAATTTAAATATTTTATAATAAAAAATTATCAAATAAAAACACAAGTAAATATTTTTATGACTAGTTTTATATTTATAAATTTAAGTTTTTATATATTTATTAATAAATTACATAGTCCAATAATTATAAATTAATATCATATTTTGATCAACATAAATATATTATAAATAAAATAAAATCATAACATAAAACAATATAAAAAATGTATTGTGTATGTTGATTAGTTTCTTAATTAATTTTAAAAATATAATATTTATTTTAATAGAGTGGTTTTATAAAGATTGATTTTTTATTATTTTCGGTCTAAAATATTAGAATTAATTAATAGATTAATTCTATTATGTAACTCATGTGAAATATAATGATTGACCAAAATGTGATTTAATAAATATATAAGGACATATTGGTTATTATGAGAAGTCATAATAAAATAAGGCTAAAAATAAAATAAAAACTTACAAATTTGATGGGCGTTGGTTAATACGGGGAATTAGGATTTTCTCTCTGGTCCTTCTCACATTAAGTCATCAAAAAAGTGTGATTTGAAAAAAGAAAGGCAAAGAGATAGATTGAGAGAAAAAGTTTGGAAAACAAAGATATTAAAGAAAGCATTCTTATTGGATATCTCTCATGGATTAAGGTTAGTTTTCTTATGATGATTTATGTTAATATACAAGAATCATGAATCTAAAGATCTTGTAGTTTTGTAATGAATTAAAAACATAGGAAAACTACATAATGATTCATATCTGGTATCAGAGTCATTGTTATTAAATTTATGATCCTTTTCTTATAATAGTTTTTTCCAAATTATGATAAACCCTAATTATGAATTTAGGGATTTCTCTATCAAATTAGCATGAACCTTAATTTATCCCCAAAGGAATCCTAGTTAAAAGTTGTAGGGAGTTTATGTTTTTTCAGCTGTAATTGATTTCAAATTGAAATTATAAAATTATGAATATTTGTAATTTGATCAAACAATTTCAAAATCTCATAATTGTTTTACGAATTGAATTGAATTGTTTCCATTGTGTTTAAGTTGCCCATAAAAATTTCAATTGATGACAATTTCACTTTTACATATAATGTAAATTGAAATTATGTATTTCAATTTTATTTATGATACATAATATTTTATTATGTGAATAATGTACATATTTATTAAAATTAATGAAAATTTTTATGAATCTTTAATAGTAATTAAAGATGTTTTTTATTTGAAATTAAGCATGAATAATTCATTTATAGGTTATAATTAAAGTTCATTATTATAAGACATTTCAGGATCATCTAAAAGTTGATTATTAATGAGCATAAATGTAGATAATTTTGTGTGTGTGACTAGTTTTATTTATATACCCAAAGGTGTAAGGTAATTCTAGTGGATGCATATTTTAATAATCATTAATGTTATAAAATGGTTAGCATTATATATTTGTGTATTAGTGGATCTCCCAAAGAAGAACATTAGTATGCATAGAATGATTATTTATGTTTGAATATGTATTTATATTTAATTTTTATGACTCAAGATGTTAATGTTAGGCATGTGATAATTGAAGTATCAGTTTTAGTATCTCAACATTCGCTCACTTTGTCACTATAAGAAAATTGCATATTTTCGATGGATTTTTACCAACGAATTTGTAGCCGTCGGAAAATGAGTCCTTGTCGACGGATATATCTATCGGTAAATCCGTCGGTAAATTAACAATAAATTTCTGACAGGTATATCCGTCGGTAAATTAACAATTATTTACCAATGGAAATATTCGTCGGTAAATTCATCGCAAATTAACAATTAGTTACCGATGGATATATTCGTTGGTAAATTCGTCTCTAAATTAACAATTATTTACAGACGGATATTTCTATCGGTAAATTAACAATTTGTTACCGATAGATATATCCGTCGGTAAAATTATATAATAATTACTTAATATATTCTAATAAATTAATTATTCACCTAATTAAAAAATTAAATATTTTTTATTTAATAATTTAATTTAATCACAATTAGATTAATTTATAATAATTTATTAAATTAAATAATTTTAAAAATAAATATTTAATTATATATAAATATATCAAAATATATAAATATATCAAAATATATTTTTATTTATATATTTACATGTATATACATTTATTTGTATATAAATATAATTTATTTGTAAATTATTATCAAAAATTTCTAGTAGTTTAGTGGTTGGAGTATCGGTCCCTAACTCTAAGGTACTGCACTACAAGAAAAATCTGGAATTACCGACGGACAAAATCCAGTCAATAACAACAAAAATCCGTCGGTAAATACATATTACCGACGGATTAGCGACGGACAAAATTCGATCGGAAATTGTGTTGTCGGTAAATATTACCGAACGGATTAAAATAACCCGTCGGTAATTACCGACGGATATATCCGTCGGAATCACTGTAGGTAATTACAGACGGATTTATCCGTCGAATCTGCTGTAGGTAATTACACGACGATTTATCCGTCGAAACTGCTATAGGTAATTACCGACGGATTTATCCGTCTGAAGCTGCATGAGGTCATTACCGACGGATTTATCCGATCGGAACTCGCTGTAGGTCATTACCGACGGATTTATCCGTCGAAATCAGTCGGTAATATCCAAATTTCTTCCTGAAGCATTTCAATTTTTCAATAAACCATTTTTCCTGCATATCACACATTTTATATCAGGAACGCTACACCAAATCCAGTTCCACTGTTTCAGATCAATAACAACATAAATATAGGACTAAATATAGGACAAATAACCTCAATTGAAATTAAACATAGGAAAAATAATCTCAATTCAAACAAATGACATATAATTCAAACTATTTATAAATAAACTTAACGTGTA